GTGACCAGGTAGCCGGGCTCTGCGGAGCGGGGTGCCAGCTCCACGCCGGTGGAACCATCGGTGGGGGGGGCGGGGTACAGGATCTCTGGTGTGTTGTCATTCTGGTCCAGAATGAATATGCTCAAGGACACATTGCTGCTAAGCGGTGGGTCCCCGCTGTCGTGCGCAGTCACTCTCAACTGCAGGTCACGGAACTGCTCATAGTCGAAGGAATGCAACGCATACAGGATGCCGGTGTCAGAGTTGACGGACACATAGGAGGATAAGGAAGCCCCCTGGAGAGTGTCTTCAGACAGGGAGTAAGTGACTCGAGCATTCTCACGGCTGTCCGGGTCATGTGCAGTCACAGAGAAGATGGAGGCACCTCTGGGGTTGTTTTCAGGGATGTAGACAGAATAGGAGGACTGGGGGAAGGCAGGCGGGTTGTCATTGGTATCTGCCACATTCATGGAGATATGAGTTTCTGAGGACAAGGGTGGGGTTCCACCATCTGTGGCTTTCAGTGTGATGTTATACACAGAGCATTTTTCCCGGTCTAGGTTTTTCGCTGTCATCAACTTATAATAATTGTCTATTGATCTTTCTAATTTAAAAGGAAGATTTTCTGAAATAGTGCAGGTCACCTCACCATTCTTGCCAGAATCTCGATCTTGAAGGTAGAAAAGAGCAACTACGGTTCCAGGAGGAGTGTCTTCAGGGATTGAGTTGCTTACAGATGTTACAGTCACTTCTGGGGCATTGTCATTCACATCTAAAACTGTGATAATTACTTTAGCCCTTGTCATACTACCAGGACCGTCCTGAGCCTGAACCTCCATTTCATAGTAGCTGGACTCTTCATAATCTAGGCCTTCTAAAGTTGATAATTCTCCTGTATGAGAGTTCAGTCGGAATATCTGTAGAATCTTCTGAGTTATTTTCCGGAAAGAATATGTCACTTCCCCATTGACTCCCTCATCCAAGTCAACAGCGTGTACCGTGAGCAATCTTGCGCCCACCGGCACGTTCTCAGGGACAGTTACTTGGTACTGAGGCAAAGAGAAGACTGGCGCGTGATCGTTCACATCCACCACTGTTACTTGGATGCGGGCGGTTTGGGATCTCGGTGGGTGGCCACCATCAGAGGCTGTAAGGAGTAGGTGATGAACCGCCTCTTCCTCCCGATCCAGCACCCTTTCCAGCACTAACTCCGGATATTTAGCTCCGTCATCTCCATTTTGCACAACCAGGGAGAAGTGATGATTGGGGCTGAGCTCGTAGCTCTGGAGGGAGTTAGTGCCCACATCTGGATCCCGAGCCTCATTTAACGGAAACCGCACCCCAGGAGCTGTGTTCTCCGTTATTTTTACAGTCATTTCTTCCGTCAAGAATCTAGGAGCGTTGTCATTAACATCTAGTATTTCCACTTCTACAGGGTAAAGATTCATTTTATCCATCAGGATGTTAAAGTTCACCAGGCACCGCGCGCTCTGAGCGCAGAGCTCCTCTCGGTCTATCCTGTCTGCGGTGACCAAGCTGCCGCTTCGCGGATTCAGAGCGAAAAGCTGCGTCCTACCTCTGGAGACGATGCGGACTCCACGCTCCGCCAGTTCCCCAGGCTCCAGGCCGAGATCCTTAGCGATATTACCCACAAAAGACCCTTTGTCTGTCTCCTCGGGCACGGAGTAGAGAAGATGTCCTGCCCAAGCTTCTCTCTGGGTCCCCAGGAGGACGGAGAGCAGGATGAATCTTCTGTAGTCCCGACCCCTCTGCGGAGCCGCCATTGTTGTGCTGATCTTGTTCAGACACTGGGCTATCTCCTGTTGTGCTTCTGGATGCCAGTGTGTCAGTGTGGAATCTTTTGTATTCGTAAAAGAAGCCCAGAATCTAGTATAAGAGAACTGAGTTTGATGCAGCTTGGAAGAGAGTTTATCTCAATCTGGTATTTCTTTGTACGGTAAAAGCTCAGTGGTTCTGGCAGATCTTTTGCACCATTTTCCCCCGGTTGGTGAACAGCGGCGCTCAGAGTCCTTATTAAGTTACTGCACCATATTGAAGCAAAATAACTGATTTTTCAGAAAGTTGTTTTATCCTTCAAAATCCTTCCATTTATATTTCTCCAATTTATATATCTTTGATATTATTTAAAAATATATTTCAAGAAAATGAATTAATGCAACAGTGTTCATGATGGGTGCTTACTAATTCCAGATAACTTTTAAATTTTTTTCTGTTTTGCATTTCAACTTTGAAATGATGTTGGGTACTGCTTCAGGCTTCATAGAACACAGTAAAATCAGTGTTTGTAGGTAAAAAAAAGTGTGATTTATTTTGAAAAGGTATGTCAGAGTATAATAAATTAATTCAATAATATTGAACACCGACTATGTTCTAGATGCCACCATGTAAGACTCAGAAAGTCAAAATTTTCTTTAGAATACAGAGAGGTAATTTAATAAAGTTTTTGATTGGAGGGAAACTTAGAGATGATTTAGTCTAATACCTCCATTTTAATGATTTTAAAAATGAGAGGGAATTGCCTTGTCCTTGACTATATAATAGTAAAACCATTGTTGGAATACAAATATCCTCACTTTCAGTGTTCTGAGAAGAAAAAGGAAAATCATTTGCCTTGGCTGATGCTTAATTATGCTCAAAAAGTGCCATCAGAGAGGAGGTAAGAACCCAAGCAGCAACAATCAGCTATAGAAGCAACTCATTTTACACAGAAGGCAGGAGTTTGCAGATTCTACCACCGGTGTATTCATAAGAAAGTGGGTGTTGACTGCTTCTTTTCATTATGCAATTCAAATAATCATCCTACCCAATTCTAGAATAAGTGAAAAAAGTTGGGCCTCCAGATAGCCTTTGAGCATACACTGTCCTGAGAAGATCCTTAGAGGTACCAATTGTTCCAATGATGTTAATTAAATAAAACTGAATTGCTGATGGCTCTGAGGTTAGCCTTAGCTGATAGAAATAAAATTCTTTCCACATAGTTGCAGGAGAAAAGAGTTACCTGTCCTGAAATGAAGACCCTAGCAAGAAATAAACTTACCTTATGGGGTGCCTGGCTGACTCAGTCAGAAAGAGCACACAACTCTTGATTTCAGGGTTGTAAGTTCAGGCCCCATGATGGGTGTAGAGATTACTTACATAAAGAATAAACTTAAAAAAAAAAAGAAATACCTTGCTTTGTAAATTATTTTAAGCCCTAGGGGAGTAGATAGCAGCACCAGGAGGAGAAATCAGAGGTAACATTGAAAAATCTTTCTTAGCTTAGTTGCTGGGGATTTCCTAAGTGATCTATTTCTGCTCTCTGATGGCACTGGTCCAAAACATAGGCAATACTTTGAATGAAATGCTGTTTCAATCTATCAATTTATAGCCATGTTTGCTTTCACCAAGTAGATAAAATAACTTCTTGTTCAAAGGAGCCAATATGAGTATTACAGATTAATTCCATAAGTAGAAGTTAAATACTATTTGTTTAGTAGTAATTTTGAACTTTCTGTTGATGAAAGCAGTCATTAAAGATCATGAGTACTTGCAGACATTTTCAAACAAAATTTTTGGTCTAGATATTATGCTTCCCAATGTTGTGATCTTTTTCTACCTAACACTTCAAAATTCATAGGGTCATCTCACATTTGTTTCTTATTCTTACTATTTAAAAAAGAGTCTCAACTTATTACTTCTGGATAACTTCTTTGGAGTTAATTAACTATGATCTAGATAAATAAAATTATGAACATACTCTGAACATAAAGTATACTTTAGGAAGTAACTGGCTGTATTATCTCTAGTAATCAAATTTTCTAAATTATTCTACAACATAAATTTAAATACTAAAGATCTCTATTAGACCACTAAGATATGTTAAATATAACATAAGACTACTACATAAAATTGAAATAAGTTTACAGTTTTAAAGGAAGTATATTATTATTGATTGAGTTATTGGGAAGAATCAGCCTTCATTTTTGTACTTGCATAAAAAAATTCTATGGAAAAAAATTCCGTGGAAAGTCTAATTGACTTCCCAGACATTAAGTTAGGCATCTTCTCTACTTTCTTTTTCTTTTTAAAGATTTTATTTATTTATTTGACAAAGAGAGAGAGCACAAGCAGGGGGAGTGGCAGGCAGAGGCAGAGGGAGAAGCAGGCTCCCCTGCTGAGCAGGGAGCCTGATGAGGGGCTCCATCCCAGGACCCTGGGATCATGACCCGAGCTGAAGGCAGACACTTAACTGCTTAACCGACTGAGCCACCCAGGTGCCCCAATCTTCTCACCTTTCTTTATGCTATTTTTTCTTTTCTTTTTTTTTTTTTTTAAGATTTTATTTATTTATTTGAGAGAGAGAGAGAGCACAAGCAGGGGGAGCGGCAGGCAGAGGGAGAGGGAGAAGCAGGCTCTTGAGCAGGGAGCCTGATGCGGGGCTCAATCCCAGGACACTGGGATCATGACCTGAACCCAAGGCAGATGCTTAAATGACTGAGCCACACAGATGTCCCGATGGAACTTTTTTTCTAATGAGAAAACATTTGTTTGGAGTTCTGTTTGGGTTTTCATTCCCAGGCAAAGATGCTAGTATTTTCTATTTCTCACTGAAATTTTACTCCTTCCCTTTGACAACTGCAACCTCAATAGAAGTTTGATCAGATGGGTTGTTTTCACAGATGATAAACTAGCCCAATAATTTGGTAGGCTTTTTTCCTGATGCCTCAAAATTCAGTATATACTGAAAATCTCATACTGTTTATCTTATTAACAATGATCTATATGGTATGTAAGTCGGAGAGCCTCAGTCAGAATTTAGCAAATTCCATGACTGCTAGGATTTAACACTTGGTCAGTCCACATGAATGTATATTACTGAGAGTAGAATCTGATAGCTTTCCCAATAAAATACTTTATTTATTTAGATGAAATGGTCATAGGTAATTCAGATAAGAGAATAAAATAAACCGTCATATACTACCCCAGTTAGTGAGTGAGCAGATAAGAGAATAAAATAAACCAGCCTATTATCCATAAAACCCAGTTAGTGAGCTTTGCTTATAAATGGATATAGTTTACTTTGTTTATTTTTTTCAAGATGTGGTTTAAATCATCCAGAATTGGTGATATAAAAAAATAACATTTACACTCTCGGATCATATGAAACAAATTTTAATACTTGTATGAGACAATCTGACTTCCATGACCAATATCCAAGATTAAAGTTCTTGAAAATTATTTACTATTAAGTTCCTTTGAAAAAGATTTATTTATTTGGGAGAGAGAGAGCACAGCAGATAGGGACAAAGGAAGAGGGGGAGAGAGTCTTAGGCAGACTCTGCACTGAGTGTGGAGGTCCCCCTCAGGGATCGACCTCCAGACCCTGAGATCACTACCTGAGCCGAAAACCAAGAGTCGGATGCTTAACTGACAGCACCTGAGTCACTAGGCACCTTATTCACTATTAAATTTTGATTAAAACCATCAAAGGATTATATCACAAATGTCCAAACAAATCAGATTTGAAAATGTGTGTGACTGGAATCTCTTGGTCATATACATTTGGAATCTTGAAATAAATAATGGTACAATAATCGCTGAGATATAAATATCACAATATTGATTTAGAGAAACATACGTTACCTTTAGTACCTAATTTAAAGGCATCAACTCAATATTAACTTAAAGAAGACTGACAATTCCAGGTTACATTTATTTTCAAGAGATCTTTTCAATTATTTATGTTAAATGTGCATAGAAAATTTAGAAGCAGAATTGGCCAATCTATTGCATTATCAGATCATAGAATCCTCCAGCTCAGGACTGGGAAAGACCTTGGCTATCATGTACTTCAAGGACTCATCAAATACTATTATACTCTGTATTCTATTAACTTCAGGGCCATCAACTTACTTTTGGAAAGAGCTAATAATAGAACCTCCTACCATCTAGGCAATCCATTTTCCATTAGAACAACTTCAACAAATCAAAACTTTGTTTTTTTCTACTCACCAAGCCACAGTTTCATCCACACCTTTGAGCCATAACGAATTAGACTAATCATTTTTCTAATGACAACCCTCTCCTTTCCTTAAATATTTGAATAGAGTTTCTACATGACAGAAGCCTTATTTTATCTGGGTTAAATATGCTAAATTATTTAAATTCTTATTTGAACACTGTTAAACTTTCATTCTCCCATTCACTATTCAGTCCTCTATTTTTTAGGGATATGGGCTTGTAAGTGGACACTAATAAGCATATTTAAAAAATTCACTTTCATTTTTAAATAGCACACAGATTGCAGAAGACATTGTAGTAGGCATACAGCATCAGGTGCTTATATTTGGTAACAATCAAAATTATAATACTGGTGATGTCAACAAATACTTGTTCATTATACTGCTTTATAGTTGAAAAAATTAACAAACTATATTGTCTCAGAATTTGTGTGAGGTAGGTAAGACAAGTCTATTTAATTTACACATTAATTTGGTGGCACCTGGGTGGCTCAGTCATTAAGCGTCTGCCTTCGGCTCAGGTCATGGTTCCAGGGTCCTGGGATCGAGCCCCGCATCGGGATCCCTGCTCCATGGGAAGCCTGCTTCTCCCTCTCCCACTCCCCCTGCTTGTGTTCCCTCTCTCACTGTGTCTCTCTCTGTCAAATAAATAAACAAAATCTTTTAAAAATATTTACATGTTAATTTAAAAACTATAGATATTGTGACTAGCCGGAGATGAATAACAGATAATTCCAGGAATATTTTTCAGGTTTTCTAACACCAAAGATCAAGTCTTCTCTGCTACAGACATCAACTACTTTTGTCTTTCATAAAAATAATTTTTGATTCCTAAGTAGTAAAGGGGGAAAATATCTCTCACAGATCTCCATTATTTTAGAAAACACTTGCTTTTAGTTAACATTGGGGAAAAACTGAGACCTTGATCTTCTTTAACAGAGGCTGCAATTTTTTTTTTAACATTAGAAAGAGAATCTTTTTTTAAAGAGTTTATTTATTTTAGAGAGAGAGA